CGCTTATCATGTTGTCGTACTGCAGGCCTTGCTAGCGTCGTAAGAGCCAACTGAGACTGGGCAGCAGCCTCTCTATCATTTAGATTTTGATGTGGCAAACTGATATTTTTGCACAAAGGTGCATATTTCAGAACTTTTGCCCTTCAATCTTTTTGACACCGAGATTTTCATTGAGGCGCGACAAGTCTTTCGTTCTTTTTAGAGGGCCTTCAAACCGACATAATGAGCGGAGAGCGCAGATATTTGCCACATCAAGAGTCATGCTTCTTGTTCTGCGCCGTCCGTTGGTACGCCTGAAACTGATATATATTTTTCTGGGGTCAGGTGACTTAGGCCAAAGTGGCCCGATATGACATACAACTTTGCCAGGAAAAGTCCTGAGTGCTGTTCGTTTCCTTGAGGCAATTCCTAATCACATCTGACCATCTTTCAGGTTCTCAGCAAACGACCGAATTGATATATCACAGCATAAGGCCTCTCCCATTCCCTCACATTGTGTGATAAAACCCTGTACTTTTCAGACCCACATGAACTGTATTGTTCCTCGATGTTCCGCAAGATGCTCAGTGCTGCAGGGAATGCATGTCAGGCGCTTGATCCTGGCAAGCAAATACTGTGGTCGCGTAAGGGCCGCGCAAGATTCGGCGTAAGCCTGACGTTCAGACCATATCGAGGCGCGCAAGCAAAACCGTAAGCAGCGGCGTATGGTTGCATTTAGCAGTGGCCTAAGCAACCCTTGTGGGTAAGCTAAAGCTGGAGTCGAGCAAGCGCTGCGGAAGCTTTCGCGGAAGCCATGTGTTGTGACATATGGAAGTTTTCAGAAACGCTCACTTGGAGATAGTTTTGCAAGCGCTTTTGACACTCAGCTGCTTGGCGCTAGCCATTCATCGACCAGTTAGCTAAGCATTTTCAACGCATTTCTCAGGGATGGAACTGCCCATCATGAATGTGGCAATGATAACTCGGTTATTTGTCTCATGTGAATTTCCAGGGGTTCAATGTGGCAAAGCATACTGGGGCAAGGTCTTTGAGGTGTTCGTTCACCTCTTCCAACAGATGAATTGTTTAGGTCTAAGTGATCAAAGGTTGGTGGACCGTGAAGCTTGAATGCAGGCAACGAGAAGAGGAGTCAGATGGCGAGAGCATTGGGCAGCACGATTTAGCGGCGCTGCAGCAAGCGTTCTGAAGGGGTCAAACAAGTCGGTCCCACAAGCCTCACAGGCATCAACCGCAGTGGCGTGCTGGTCCACGCCTTTCACAGGCACCGGTGTGAAGACTGGAGAGGTCTTTTCGGGTGTCCTGGCAGTTCCTACTCTGAAGTGTTTTATGCTACGTTGGCTTCCATGCTACGTCGGGCAACTAGGGGCAATGCTTTTTGGTCGGCAGCGCCTCCATGTGATGTTTTCACATCCAAAGAAGTACACTTCGTTTGGACCATCCGAGGTCCGAACACTTTTGGATGTGGCATTCGATGATCATGACACGCCTCCTTTTTTCGCGGACCGGGCCGGCTGGCTTGATGCTTACGAGTGATGGACACATCCGATGTGCATGACTCAAGATGCGCATGACTCGAGTGAGGGCAACATGTCTTGCAGGCAGGAAGGCCCAGGTTGGAAGCTGCGCGCGGTGAAAGGAAATCGATCCGAACATCCAAAGGCAGAAGAGAAGAACCAGTGCGCCAGTGCACTGCGCACCGCATGGCATTCAACAGCATTTCAGCGTCCCGGATGGCCACAGGTGAGCCTTGGTCGACTCTGTGCAACCGGAAGCAGCCGCCGGGCATGCCGGCGGTCTCGGCGAAAGCTGCCAAGACCCGGCCCGTGTGCCACAGATCGAATCGCCCGCGCCGGAGGTTTGAGCGATTTCGCTGCGGAATTTGTGGCCACAGAGCCAGCGATATGGAACGGGCCTTGTGCAGCTATTGGCCGTGGCTTCTTTACGTGCACCATGTGCGAACATATAACTTAGACTTTAGACAGTAAGCAAACCTTCGTATAGTAGGTAGTCAAGTCTTGACCGAGTAATTAAGACAAGGACGTCTTCCAGAGCATGCATGGGCCAAATGTATGGGCATCACTTGTGGCAAGACTTCACTGAGTGCGGTTCTTCGTTCAAGCTTGCCGGCAGGCATCAAGACAAGTCGACCGGTTGCAAGGCTAGATCAGGTGGTACGAGTTTGGAACGTTTTGGAGCTCTGCTTTTGAACTTTAACTTCGTCCTTGACCGTCACATGACCCTTGTGCCACTGGCTCGTAACCTTGGCCACTTCGCTCTGTGGAATGCTGACAGCAGTTTGGACCAGTGATTGTCCCGTCATCATTGGTCTACCATTTGAGGCGCAAGATGCAAGATGATGTTCGGCTATATGGCCGAGTTGTAGATTGATTTTCGATGCGTTTCGAGTGCGTGGGTGGACTAAAACTGACCCTGTCCTATAGCAAGATTGGCGAGATCCCTCTGAAGCTGAGGCTGACTCCGAACAACAGCCTGCGGCTCGAGTTTGTTTTGAGCAACGCCAAGTGTACACATCGTGGTTTTACAATCCATGCCCTATATTTCCAATTCGCCGAGACCTGAGGATGTGTATCAAAAAGGAAGATGAGGGAAGGATGGAGCGGCCACGGGCTATATGGCTGAGCAAGGTCTTGGTAGACGGCACCCCGATGGCCAACAAGCCTCACTCCTTAGTGAAAGACATGCCTTCAACTGGCCCGGCTGCTTGCTTAGTCCATATGTTTTTGAATTTTTCATATTGTTCAATATTGTTCATTTGATCCACCCATTCGCTAGCCCGTGTTCTTTGGATCACGAAGGGTCCCAGAGGGCAAGGCCTGTGGGATCGCCAGGATCGTGGTCAGGTCTGAAGGCTCCATATAGTTCCGAGTGCTACTAGCAGAGCAGCTTCTTATTACTAGTAGCGATGGCCTCCAACCTAATAGCGATGGCCTCCACCTAGTAGCTTCAAATGTTCAAGCAATTGACGAAAAAGGTCCCCTGTCCCAGATGCTTTTGCTTGATCTCACTGGGACTGCTAGGAATTGATTCTTGCTTGACAGTCCAAGGACTGCTATGAATTGATTCTTGCTTGACAGTCAAAGTTCCTCCTTCACCTCAACAGCACCTCGAAATGGCTCTTTGCTTTGTTGCTTTCTTTGTCGCCTGCCTGCTGGTATTGCCTTTGCTGCTGTCATAGGGCGCTTGCCAATTCTGCTTTTCTTTGCTGAAAGTGCATATCTCCGGCAAGCTGCTATGCCCTTGGCGACCTTGTGCTTCTCTAGCAGTGTCGCGTTTGGCGCAGAGTATACATACCGGGGGTCCCAAGTGATGGCTGCTTGCAAGGTCATTTGATCCCCCATTCTGTGCTGTTGGTACGTCTTTGGGCTCTTCTGCTTCTGGTGCTGGCCCAGGCTGTTTGGGAAGGCTGGCATTTTGAACGGGCTCACTTGTTGGCTGTGCTTGTTGCGGTAACGCGGATGGTGATACCGAGCGCAGTGGATATCCAGCGGAGATCTGCAGGTGCATTGGCTTGTTGTGACTGAACCCGTTGGATCTCAGGAAAAAACATGGGTCACACGGTTCTAAAGCCCTTGCGCAGGTAGCTGCGTGGAACTCTTTCACAACCTTCAGCTCATTTTTTGCCACTATGAAGTTGACCGGCGCCCCATTGCGTCGAGGAATCTTTTCAAACTTAGAAAGATCATGGCTGGCAACTAAGGCGTGCCATCCACACCAACCATCTGCTGGCACCAACATTTTTTTGTGCCAGGCTTTCTGCACAGGTTCAGCCATGGTGCCCGTCTTTCTCAAAACCTGGGTCATGAGGGCAGTGCAAATCCTTCTCGTAGCATGTTCTACATGCCCCAAAGCAAGCTCATCACTCCAACATATTTTGTACAACAGCCTCTTTGTCACTTCTCGCGGTTGTGCAGTCCATTGGACGCAAACCCTTTGAGCTTCTCCGTTTTCAACAGCTTCCAACGCATAAGATTAGCCAGTTGCCACTTTGGAGAAGTCAACATAGATGAATATTGGGCAGGGGTATGTTGGAGTGAGCAGGTCCAGAATCTCATTCGCACGCCTGTCCCAAAATTCACAAAATTCAGGGTTTCAAACCATGACTGCGCCACAGGGAACAATACCTAGGGCTTCGCACACGCTAGGAGGCTATCACATCAGCAGTAACAAACCTCTTGCACTGCCTAGATCGAGGCTGACGCGCGAGAGAAGCTTCCAGTCAGCTTTGGCTTTGCGGAATCCGCTGCTGGCCGGAGTGAGGAACCTTTGACAATTCATGTGCTTCAGGGAGTTTGAAAGAACGACTCGAAGAGAAGTCGCTCCTGCTAGTGGCTTACCGAGATAGAGTTGTACAGTTCCTTCATGCCACACCATATTCATGCAATACAGCATTGACCTTTTGTAGCTTGGATTGAGGGAAGCGCTCAGATTGCCTTTGATAAGGTTTTAAAATCATCAGTATGCAAGAAGGCAAAAATGTTCCCGATAGATAGGCTTCCAGCTCCAAGACAAGCGCACCTCGTGACAGCAAAGAGTTTGTTGAAGCATGGACCGGCAGTAGCTTTGCTTTCCATCACTTTACAGACCAAGCAAATATGCCGCGCCATACTGTGCCTCATTTCAAGAGCTGCTATCACGGTGCTTCGAGCGGGAAGACGTAAAAAAAGCGGTTCTGGAGGGTCGGCCTGGGCTTTGAGGGAGTGCTGAGGAGGCGGTCATTGGGATGATTATCGTTTTGTGATCTTGTGCTATTTCATCTCAGATGTTTGTTTTCCCTTTGCATGATTCTGCTTTCACATTCACATTCGCTTCCACTCAATGGTTTTTCGGGGGTTGTCTGGACACACCCTGGTTCAGGCTGATTTTCTTGAACAGGTAAGACATTTGAGCGTGAATTTAGAGAACGGAAGATGAATTTGACCTAGGGACCTAGATCTCTTCAACGCAAAAACGCAATCCGTGCTCCCAAACAGCTCAACGGTCACAAACCGCTCGGCAGATGTTAGGTCTCGAGGTTGTTTCAGCTGTGAATCTAGAGGGTGAGTGTGCGGTGTGCGAAAGAAATTATGTTGAAAGAAGAGAAACATGCAAGGAATTCTTCCCCAAATTCCGGCCAAGATATCGAGAAACGAGAACTTGGAATGTGCCAAATACTGCAATAGAGGCACCTTGTCGTTGCTGGCTGAACTATTCCTATGATTCACCAGCGTCCCGCTCACTGACTAAAGTACCCGCGATGCAGCCAGTGTTGCGTTCACTCAGTGCAAGTTGCCGGCCATTGCCAACAACATTTTCTGAATAATTCTTTGGTCGGGGATGCCCAGGCACCATTCCTGTGGAAGGGTTTCTCCAAGATGGTTTCTCCCGCCGCCATGCCCTGTAAATACGCGCGCATGTGCATATCATTTGTTGCACCTTCGCCTTTGTCACGAATAGACATCACGTAGTCAAGCCTTTTGGTTTGTGGTGCTTTTCGAATCCATAATGCATTGAAGATGCATCTTCCTTTGACTTCCGTTTCAAACCTTCACCTGAGCTCGAATCAATTGCTGGCGGATCCGATTCCTTTGCCGTTTCCTTTCCTCTCGTTCGTTCAATCGAGCCAGCCATCTGAAGCAGGAATACCTCATGGCCTTTTGTACTTAACTTTGGCTCAAGACTTGAGCACTGGCTCAAAGTGCGCGCAAAAGTGGTGCGAGTGCTTTCGCTTTGCTTGTGGGCTGTTGCGCGTGCTTTTGCTGTGTTTGAAAGGTGCTCGAGAGCCGATTGTTGACCAATCACTGGTTGAAGTTGCGCCAGAGGATTTTGCCAAGTTGCCGGAGAACGTCCTCCACCACGACGTTGGGTTGACAAGCACGGACCAACGCCAGGGTGTGGATCGTGTGCGACCAGGAAGGGTAAGCGCAGTGTTCGTTGCTATGAGCGTTACCGTGCGTGGTTGAGGAGTTCTGGAGCAGCAAAGTCAAAGCCGATTGAGGATGCAGCCATCCCGGATGAGTCCAAGGTGGTTGAGAAGAAGTTAGAGCCCAATACGCAATACTGCCAGGACTTGGACACGAAGGTCAGCCTTGAGCAGGACAAGCCTTTGTCGAGGATCCCTGGGCTGGTGGGCATGCCGCCGACACGAGGATGCCCTGCATGTCATTTCAAGACGGTTCATCCCGGATGTCGTTACTCAAAGGCTTGCAAGCGAGCTCAGCAAGAGTTTGAGGCTGCCAGTTCATCCGTGCGAGCTGAACCAGCGTTGTCTCGAGGCATGGATATGCCGCCTGAGATCGAGAAAGGAACATGGAGTTGATTTTGAACCTGAGCTGCATCGCCCGATGTGGGTGATGTACCTATGCAGGATGTAGCCCCTGATGGTGAAGCTGCGATGGATGTTGATGAGGCTCTTGACGCCAAGATGGGAGAAGAACCTACGCCGATGGTGGATACACTGTGTGTGTGTGTCCCATCTTTGTTGATCAGTTGACGTCATCGAGTGTATTTGACTGTGAACGTCTTGTGGTTGACTCCAATTCTCACAATGGGTTCGAGGAGGTGGACTTGTGTTTGTGGCAGTCAGCGACACAACGCTTGTGGAACTTGATCCCGAGGGGACATTCAAAGGCATGATCAAGAATCAAGGAGGTCAAAGGATTCACCGCCGAAGGCAAGAGTTGTCCTGACCACGTCTGAGATGACAGCGTTTTGTGAGAAACATGGTGTCAGGCCTATCCCTTTTCGTTGGTTATAACGGCTGAGAAGCTTGAGGAGGCCGCCGCGGGCGTGTGTGCCCGTATGGTTGTAAAGGACATTGCCCGAGGGGCAGCCACCGCCAGAGCACAGGGCATCAGTAGCCCGACGCCCAGTGCTGAGTCGCTGTTGCTTGGCATTGCGCGTGGTGCATGGGGCATTGGTCCGATGGCCCTGTATGCCATTGGTGTCTCACAGGCATTCATGAATGCCCTGCT